AAAATCTGAATGCTGAAAATAAATAGCTTGCTTGCCTGTGGCTGTAAATATTTTAGTGTGCATATCACTTCAACTGGTAAGTTCTACAATCTAGCAATGATAAAATTCGGAATCACGATTAAATAGAAAAACTAAATGCCAAAACTATCAACCATTTGTATGGAACCCTATGATAGGGTGAGTCACCAAAAATGGTAACTTGTAAAGAAGAAACTAACATAGACACATATACTCCCAAAAGAAAAGGAAAAAAAAAGAAGATAAGCCATACCCACCAGAATGAGGCCATATGTGCCTCCAACAAATAGACGGTTATACTGCCAAACTCTTTCCAGAACCTCAACATCTTGGCAGTGATCTAATGATGCCTCTGGTATCAACCAAGTAATCTTCCGAGAGCACATGGGACACTTGCAAGGCTGCAGTGCTTCACCATGGTTCCAGTACTGCAAAATGCTGTCACATGTAAAAGGAAAACACCAACCTTTTGTAAATAGTTTTACAGCCAAAAAAAAAAAAAACCCAATTCCATGGTAAACACAACAGAGAACATTATTAACCATTTTCAACAAAATAAAAAAAAATAAAATAAAATAAAAAGACAACCCAGTAACTGCACAAGGCTCTGTCACGAAAGCAGGGTCAGGGGAGGGCAAAATGTAGGCAACCGTCCACCCCATTTATGGAGAGAGGTTATTTCAGTTACTCAAACCCATGCCGCCACCAGGGATGCTAATTGGAAGCCTTACCGTTTGATGAATCCGCCTTTCTCAACATGTAACCGAAAGATTATTATTATTATAATTCTCTAAAAAGTAAATGAGTAACTGAAACAAGATGGGTTGGTTTGGCTGCTACTTCGGTGCGAGAAAAGACTATACACTATACAGTACCTTGGTGGGCACCAAGGATCCTCTAGAGTGAAATTTTCCTAAAATTTTCTAGAGTACTATATTGTGTGGTTGAGATTTACTGGCAAGTCACATCAGAAAAATTGATGTGACTTGCCAGTAAATCTCAATCACACAATGTAGCACTCTAGGAAACTTTAGGAAAAAATCACTCTAGAGGATCCTTGCTCCTTGGTGGGGAGAAAAGACTTGGTAGAGATGGGGTTGGTTGCTTGTTGTGACAAAATCATATACATATAAAATAATGCAAGTCAGAAAGGGGCATCTTAATAATATTTGAAATGAACTAATCATTTGCACCTTATTATAGATAGATTAGGGAAGAAAAGAAAAAAGTAGTAGTCGAAAAACAGATGAAATTCATTGCTTTGCTTATTCAGGATGATTCAGACCACCACAAAACATCACTCCCACAACCATGACGGAGCCAAGAAATTAAATCGGAGGAGGCACTTATTAATTACACTATTAAATTTTTTTATAAAAATATTTGACATAAATTTTTACCATTAACTTCAAGAAAGATTAAAAAAAAAAAATTAATCAGTGTGTTTAGTTTTACTTTTTTGAATTTACTTTTTTGAAAGCTAAGTTTTTTATTTTTTGTATTTTTTTGGTTTTAGTGAATATTTTTTAAATTTTAAACAATTTTTTTTTTACTTTTTTAGATGCACATTACTTAGATATATATCCAAATAGTAAAATATTTAAAAAAATTAATAAATACACAAAAATACGAAAAATGTACTGAATTTTCATACTATTTTTATATTTTTTGGTATTTAGTTTAGTTTTTAAAGATTTTTTTTTACAAATATTATACTTTTTAGGTATATTTATGTTAGGTGTGTCTAAAAATTAAAAAAAAAATTGCTTAAAATATTAAAAAAATTTATTGAAAACATTAAAATACGAAAAATAAAAATATAAATTTTTTTGAAAACTGTTTTTAAAAACTAGAATCAAATAAGCTAAATATTATTTGTAATTAGTGTATCATGGACAATATTAAAAAAAGTCATGGATATAAAGTTTTAAAATAAATTGTATAATGATAAAGTAATTTTTTATACAAAATATGCGTAAAAATTCAATATAATAGTTATAACACGTTATCATTAACATGTGATATCACCAACCAATAGTAAAAAAACACATAAAGAATGAACGCTACATGTCAAATGTAAGTAATAATTCAATAAATTCTATATTTTTATTGAGATTAATTATGTTTGCATGTCAATAGTGATAGACATCACCATTACATTGAAATTTTCATAGATAATAATATCGTAATCACTTTATTTTCAATCAAAATAACCATTATTATTCTTATTATTTTAAAAATAATGTTATTGACATTTAAAATAATATTTTTATAAATTTTTTTATTTAAAGTATTTTCTTTATGTTTGCTTTATAAAAAATTGCAAAACCCAGGAGGGGCACGTGACCCCCCTGGCCCCTTGATAGCTTCGCCCCTGCCCACAGGCCCAACAGTACCCTCCAGTCTGTGATTGGACTGTAGGGAAGCCATTCCCTTTTGGAAAAATGGTTAAAAGTTGAATTTTTTTTTTTATTTTATTTATTTTATTTTAGATGTTTTAGAGGGCAATACCAAGCTAGGAAGGATGGTGGGCATCGTAGGACGAGATGGTGGGACTTAAAAGGGGATAAACTAGAAATATTTAAGAATCGAATGGATAAGGAAGGTACTTGGGACTTAGAAGGTGATACTAACACTATGTGGAATTCGATGGCCAATTATATGAGGAGAATCTCAAGGGAAGTGCTTGGAGAGTCGAAAGGAACGGGACCCAGCTCTAGGGAAACTTGGTGGTGGAGGGAAGAGGTCCAAGCAGTAGTTAAGGCAAAAAAAGAGTGCTTTAAAAAGTGGCAGAAGGATAGAACTGAGGAAAACCTTAAGAGCTATAGATTGGCTAATAAGGAGGTCAAGAAAGTAGTGAGAGAGATTAAGTTAAAAGTTTATGATGACCTATACACTAGACTAGATAGTAAGGAGGGAGAGAAGAGGGTATACCAACTTGCTAAGATACGGGAGAGGAAAACAAGAGATTTTAATCAAA